TGAACTTTAAAATGTGTTTTCAGCCAAAACATCTACAGGAGGCTGTTGCACCACCTCAGTGCAGCCTGGTGGTTTTGTGTGGGTAGCTCCCGAAATGCACAAAACATTCGTCCTTTGGTCTCGTGTGGACCTTTCAGCACCAGTTACATCCTGTAAATCTGGAGTTTTACAGTAAATGCACTGGAAAGACTACATCAAACCAGCTTCTGGTTCTTGCAGTCTGGTCAGTTTGTAATAGATGTGAGACTGCAGAGAAAAGTGAACAATGGAAAACTAAAGATTACTGATGATTTTAGCTCCGCCAGCTAAAGGCATGCAGGTATCCAAGTTCATGTCCTTGGAGGTTCATATATGGACCATGTGCTAGTCAGTGGTACCCTGACCGCTGTTAGGTACCAGGTTAAAATCCTCACATTACTGTCAGTCACATCCTGATGCACTGGGTCCTCAGTTCATCCTGGTCCAGGACAATGTCAAGGCCAGTGTGTGTAGACAGTTCCTGGATGATTAAGCTTCTGACAGGACAGACCTACATCCAACTGAGAACCTCTGGGATGTTATGCATCCAAATAACACCACAAACTGTACACTGTACACTCACTAATCATCTATTGTTGACTTCTACAGAAAAATGAAGAGGTTGCATATTCAGATATGTTTAGTTGCCATCAGATTAATGAAACGAGCGCATGTCAGACATAAAACTTCTTTCACCTCATTGTCTGATTGACTCCTGCTTCTTTCTGTTCAGACGTGTGCATGAGATTCAGGCATCATGCCATTAGAGGTTTGTGTGCCCACCTGCAGCAGACTTTCAGATCCACACTGCAGAAGACAACCCATCACTTTCAGCGTGGCTCGTTGCTCCGATAAAGAAATACCAACGTCTGCTGACTGCTCAGAGTGCAGCACAGCAGCTGGCTGTCAGCCTCACCTGCCTTTAGTTCAAATCAATTTTATTTTCAGTCCCAAATCCAAAGTTATGTAACGCAGAGCCACTTTTTCATAGGAAGGTCAAGACCTTCGGTATTAGAGTGAAAAAGCCAGCCATTCTCCACGGAGCATCAGATTAGTGCCCCTGCTTTACATGAGCATTCAGGACGTGTCGTTTTTGGTGTTGGTGACGGAGGGTGGGCCGTCACATAGGCAGGCACTTTCACACAGTTAAAAATTAAATCAAAAAGGAAATGTGAATAATAATCAGGACTAATGGAAACGTGTCAGGTAACACAACTCAAGCGCTCACTTGTTTTTTGCTTTTTTCCCCTTAGGTAGCTGTGGACCAATCCCCATGCAGAGCCTGATGACATCATCATGAAGATCACATGGTCATACACACACACACACA